TATTCCACGCTCATTTACCTCTTTTACCTCAAAAATTAAAATATATTTCTAATTGGCATCATCAATCAAAACAAAAACAAAAAATGTTTATGGGGTAATATTAGATAAGCTTGTTGCTTTTAGTACAGGGGATTTGTCATTTGTTCCATTGATAATGACAACAAGACATAGCTGCTTCTTTATATAAATATACTTACTTCACTCTTACACCCGATCCATTAAATGGAAAACTTTTTAACCACAATTATAATAACGGTAAGAGTTACATATTATATAATTTTATTGGTTGATTTTGAAAATGTAAGTTATACACACAACAACAAAAATTCAGAATGCAAATTGCATGATTATTTTACCTTGCTTTAAATCTTCAGCAAAGTTGTTTAAATCCTCATCAAGTCGTTTTACATGGCTATCTATCTGAAGCAAATACAAAAGGATTGAAACTTTTAGACTTCATCAACATTCCTTGTATGCATAGGAAGCAAAAAAACAAAAAATCCACATGGTTTCCTAGAAAAGAACTGTGATCATTGAGTACAGTGCACCTCAGAATCAAAACAAAGCAACTTTTCCCATGGTATACATGTGTATATCAAAACTTAGAATCTTATTCCTTACTGATTGTCTTCACTCTTCATTAATACAATGTAAATTGACATAGCACACAAAATATAAGAATGAGGAGGTTCCTAGAGAAGAACTGCAAGGGGCTATTACATGATAGCATCTCATCAAAACAAAATAAAAGCTAGATACATGCATATATTATCTAAAAAACCAAAAGAACTTCTAAGTATATTGTTATGCTAGTTCAAGGAAAGGAATCAAGAAAATAGATTGACTAAATCCTACACTACGAATGGTTCCACTTCCAAACATTCTCTATACAAATCAGCCCAAGGCTATTAAATGTATTATAAGAAAATACAGATTGTAAAGAATCATAAAGAATAAAAAAATCTTTAATGAGTACAGCAGTTAGCTTAGATGAAATAACTATTTGAAGAAGTTAATATAAAAAGAAAAAGGAAATCTTTCAGAAATTCCTAAACTATAAAGGTATCACCATACACCCGAATGTTAGTTACTAAGGGCTATTATGTTCGTTGGAAATTGGAATTGTATTTCCAACCCTTCCTCATGCAACAGAATCAATTATTCAGAAGGACGTATATTACAGAGTGATTTCATCCTCAATGAATGACGCTTCTCTGAGGGGAATGGGAGGTAGAAGTATCAAGTTTAAACATTTCCAATAAAAATAAGATGATTATAGCATCATCAAGTATCAGGTAAAAAGACTGGAACACTTTGAATAACAAGAAAAATGTACAGGCCCAATGGCTTTAAAGTTGTGTTTGTGAAGAATAGTGTTTTAAATCCCAGATAGTGGTGCCTAGCAGCAAGCCCCAAGGATATCAAATTGTGAATCACCAGGCTAATTTATTAACCATGAATCATAATTTGTATCGAACCGTAAGATTCAGAGACAGTGAAAAACAAGAACAAAAAGCTCACCAGGTCATATGCTTGTCGTGCCAACAAAACCTTCTCAGTGCATAGACTCAATGCACTATCCTGATTTGCCTCGATCTCTTTTCGCATTTTTTCAATAGCAGCATCATCGTCCTCATTCCCATAATTGTTATTATAATTGTGATTGCCCTTCTTAGAGCCATGTGATGAGAACCCCACACAGTACTTCGTTTGCTGCCTGGTCTGGTTTATCATAGCTTCCATCACACACAAAAAGCACAATCCAAAACTAAAATCAATTAATCCTATTAAAAATAATCAATTAAGAGTTACATTGATGTAAAAATAAGAAGATACGCATTAAAAAAACAAAATATAAAATAGAATAAAATAAAATTTCGAGAAAGCACTTACATTGGGATCGTTCATCGAGTTCTCTTACAGTGTTGAGCAGTCTCTGAAGCTCAGCGGGTAATGTGCTCGCGTCTATGGGAGTCGAAAATTCAGCAACGAAATCGAAAAGAAATTCATGGAAAAATAGGGGAAAATGGGGGAAAAAGAGAGAGGAGGAAAAAACGCTTACACTCCAAATAGTCATCAACGTAGACTCCGGTGCGTGCAATTGCCATTTTGGGGGAATGTTTATCGCAATTGGTGAGTTAGGTTTTCCGATTGCGAGCCTTTGAAGAAAACTTGCTTGTTCAGACGCAAGGGAGAGGAAATATTCGAAACGCTGTCGTATGGGCGTAGTGTGTTTTTATAAGGCAAAGTTTCAACTAATCTAGTGAGTTTATGGATGACAAATAAATCTCTTTGCTAATATCTGAATCCATTCCTATTTTAACATGAAATATTGGGTATGAAAAAAATTTAATATATTAAATCGGATATGGATAGAAATATACTTACTCTATTTTTGTCCTCATTTTTAATTTAATATTTATTCCTGATTTAATTGTGTTAAAAAAATTAAATATTTAATTATATATAATTATTTATTATGATGTAAAATATTTGTAATTGTTTAATTATTAAGAAATTTTTTGATTAAAATATGAGATAGACAAATAATCTAATTATAATTATAATATAATAAAAAATAAGTTAAAAATATTGTGTATTTTTTTTGTAAAAAAAATTAAATTGTAACATGTACAAATATACTTAATAACTGACAAAGCCAAAAATGAAACGAAAATTATATATTTGACAAGTACAAGTATAGAGATAAGAATGAATTTGAGGTGTGGAGATAGGAAATGATATGATAGAACCCATTCTCAACCCACTTAATTACCATCCCTAAGTGAGTTACCACTTACCCTGAACGTATATTCGCAAGTGGTATGGACAAATGTGTTTTAACAAATATTTATAATTTTGTATTAACAAATATTTAGTTTTACTTGAGTAATTGTAGCAAATAAAATCTAAAAAAAATTAAATCAAATAACATTCATCAATCAATTTTGAGTAGTGATAAAAAAGAAAAAGACGACGATGATGAAATAAGACACAAATAAAAACAAAAGTATCTAGCATTAGACGTTGATTATCATAATAAATACAGTTATAGTCAATATATACAAATGTATAATATGGTAGTCGGAAAAACAATGGAACATTTTGCTTTTTTTTTTTTTTTTGTAAAAGATATTGTGTATGGCAATAATTTGATTTTAATGAAGTTTTGGTAGCCAATTTTTTTTTAAACTTTAATTTTGAGAATGATAATTTCTTATGTTTGATTTTTTATTTAAAAAATATTTTTAAAAAATATTATTTTTCAAGAATGATTTTTGCATTAGTTTTAACGGAAATATTTCTGGTGAGAAATAGATTATTTTAAGGTAAAAATAAAGTTTTAATGTGTTAAGAATATTATATTATTTTTATTTATTTATTTAACATAATTTATTTGTTTACTTAATGTAGTAAAAATTTTAAAATTTCAAGTAAAATTTATAAACATGTTCATAAATATTTATGATCAATCAAATAAATTTTATGTGAAAAAATTTGTTGTGCACTGAACACTTTATAAGATAAATTTTATAAGTCGATAAATAAACAAAATTAAATACTAAAATATTCTAAAATAGTTAATTATTATAATAAATCAAAATATGTATTCAAAATAAATGAATTCAGTCTGACACTTGTCATAACTTTGTTCCACTTGACAATTTACCATCAATAGAAAATGACTCAAAGTTTTCATATTTAAATAAAATAATGTAAATAAAAATCAAAATATAAAAGGAACATACTAAGGCCATACTTGATCAATTTAACATCAACAGCTTTTTGACTATTGTTGAGTTATTATGAAACTACTAATTAAAAAGGTTATTTTAAAATAATTTCTTACTTTAAAGTAGTCAATGTAAAGTACTATTAGTTAATCAAACAATAATTATGTCACATTATTCTATTTATTTTAATTTTTTAATCTAAAAGTGATGTCAAATAAGACACGTGACACCACTGGTAATGTCTTTTAGAACCCAGTACAACACCACGTATCTAATAACCAACTCCAACGCTATTATTTATTTAATTATTTTTGTCACTTTAGGCCAAAGTGATTGTATTCTTTTTTTTTTTCTTTTTTAATTTGATGTGTGTGGTTAGGAGCCATAATGTGACTTTTTTTTTTTTAATGTGACATAAGTGGCTAGCATAATTTTTGTTTGTAGTCATGGGTTACATCAACACCTTCTTTTATTTATTAATTTTTAATGATGTTGTTATAGTCTACAATCAATGTAAATTTCTAATAAATATCATTACTTCCATCCTTAATTACAACTTTCTCTCAACTAATTAATTTAGTTAAGAACATTAGATTTATCATAAATTTAAACTACTTTTCTAAAATTAATATTCTCTTTTTCCACTTAATCATCCCTCACCCAATTAATTAATGTTTAAAAATGATAGATATTAATGTGTCTATTTATCTTCTCCAATCTTAATAATAGAGAAAAATTTTTATCAAATTAATTTTAAGTATTTATCATTTTTTGACTAAAAAAATTGTTAATTAAATAAGGACAAAATTATATTTTTAGTTCTTTATTTTGATATTTAAATTCATTTTGGTTCTTTATTTTGATATTTAAATTCATCTTGTTCTTTTAATCTCATGAATTTAAGTCAATTTAACCCTTTTAAATCCTTTTTTTAAATCATTCATGACTTAAAAAATATCTTATTAAATTTACTTATATAAAAATCATTAAATGCAATCAAAATTTAAGTCAAAAAACTATTATATACTCAATAAAAATAAAAAAATTTCAAAAATATAATTTTATACTATTTTTTAATTGTTCATAAGATATAAACATAAATAAATGGAAAAAAAATCAAAAAAAATAAGAGTATAATTTAAACTTAAATAAGAGTATTTTAGAGAATATTATAAATTAAAAAATAACTTATAAAAACTTAAAAAAGAAAAGAAAAGTGGAGAGTCTTCTATACATGAAGGTTTGTGTGATAATAAATAAAGCAAGTGATTAGATGAGGTATAGTCTTGCGCAATCTTTCTACCCAATCAAATAAACAAAGCGTGTTTGATCAATGATGTCTGTATTCAAAGTAAACTAAACGAGTGGCGAATTCAAATGGCACAATCTCACTCTCAACCTCTACCCCTCCAGGACCGAGTCGCAATCGTCACTGGCTCGTCCCGCGGAATCGGTCGAGAAATCGCGCTTCACCTCGCCTCACTCGGCGCGCGACTCGTCATAAACTACACCTCCAACTCGGCCCAAGCCGACTCAGTCGCCGCCCAAATCAACGCCGGCTCCGCCACACCACGCGCCGTCGTGGTCCAGGCCGACGTGTCCGACCCGGCGCAGGTCAAGTCCCTCTTCGACTCGGCCGAGCGCGCCTTCGACTCGCCGATCCACATCCTGGTCAACTCGGCCGGCGTCCTCGACGGCACGTACCCCTCCGTGGCCGCCACCACCGTGGAGTCCTTCGACCGCACCTTCTCGGTCAACGCGCGCGGCGCCTTCGCGTGCGCCCGGGAGGCGGCGAACCGCCTGAAGCGCGGCGGCGGCGGGCGGATCATCCTGGTGACGTCGTCGCAGGTGGCGGCGCTGCGGCCGGGGTTCGGCGCCTACGCGGCGTCGAAGGCGGCGGTGGAGGCCATGGTGAAGGTGCTGGCGAAGGAGCTGAAGGGGACGCAGATATCGGCGAACTGCGTGGCGCCGGGACCCATCGCGACGGAGATGTTCTTCGAGGGGAAGTCGGCGGAAGTGGTGGATCGGATCGTTCAAGAGTCTCCCATGGGGAGGCTCGGTGAGACCAAGGACGTTGCACCTGTTGTTGCGTTCTTGGCCACCGATGCTTCTGAATGGGTCAACGGTCAAATCCTTCGCGTCAACGGTGGCTATGTGTAGTGATGTAATCTATTTCTCCTTCGCTTTTATCATTCTCTGCGTGCGGCTGCATCATATTTTACTGCTATGACTGAATTGTGGGAATGGGTTTTTTGAGACTTTATCAGCTGTGGAGCTTCATTTGTCATCTCATAATTTTCTTACTGCTTAATGGTTATCTGTGCTTGGTTAAATTGTTAAATGATAATCAAAGAATTTGGGGGAACTGCACGATTATTTTCTTTTGAAACCTAGGTGGTGCAGTATATTCAGCTGAGATATCATTCACAATCATGTTTATCAATTCTTATTGGTGATTACTGTAATAGAGATGTATGATTTTAGGATCAAAGTTTTTCATATGGGAGAAACTTGTAGTAGAAGTGTTGATAAATGGTAAATGTAAGTCTAATCGATAGCTGGTGTGGGTCTTTTATAGAGTAGACACAGTAAGGGCATTCCTATGCTGTAAAGAAACAGCAAATAGTTTGATATGTTGTGGTTGTGGTGGAATTGTAATAAGGTTATCTTTATCAATCATGGTTTCTTTGAGGCCACATAATGGGGTATATGTAGCATTTGAAGTGTTGGTGCCGGAGGCCTAGTAGCGAAAGCTTAAGGTAGTATGCATAGAATTTAGGCTTTAATTTTGTTGTAATTTTGATCGATTAAAAAACACTTGTTGCTGTCAAAATGAAGGGGGGACAAGATTTATAGCTAACTGTGTTGCTCCTGGCCTATCATGATTTATTGGTGGTCTTTTTTTAATGATTTAGGATAGTTTTGATATCATCATTTGAACCTAACTCAATTCTATAAAAATAACTTGTAAGGTAAGAATTATTTTTTATTTATATATTATTTAATTGTTTAGTCTCTAAGCGTTGTGAGACTTGAAATTTTTTCGATACTGTGTGTGGATGTTAACGGTGACTATGTTTTAAGCTCTTGAATACTCTTTGTGGTGTTATGTATGGCGATGCTTATGGTACTGTGCATACGCCATAACATTGAACTGAGTATTGTTATAAATATTTCTTAGCACTGATGATAGTGGATTATCACAGTTTCACCAAATAGATTTATGTAGTTCGACGTGAAGAATTATTGCAGGAAAAAGTTTTTTTTTTTTTTCCACGAAAAGCTTTATATGGGCTGAATGTTGCTTCTAGGACCCAATTTTAAAAATTTGTCAAGTGTGCTGAATTAAAGCTCCAGGTGAGGGAGAATGATTCAACTTGTAAAAATATTTTCTATGGTGTACCATTAGTTGACTCTTTACTAGTGTCCCCACCGGCGATGCCCGGAATTTTTTCTCTTTTATTTTTGAAATATATAAAAAAATAGCATGATAGAAAATATAACTATATCTATGTTCTATATATTATTAAGGCTTAATTGCACTTTTCGTCCTCCTAATTTAGTGCAAGAGCAATTTTGGTTCTTATAATTTAAATTGCTTAATTTTGGTCCATAAATTTAAATCATGAGCATTTTTGGTCCTACAAATAATTTACCATCCAAAATTTAACAGACGTTAATGATATGAATTTTATGCTAAATAAATATTAATTATATATTATTTAATTTCTTATGTGTCAAATTATTTAATATTCAAATTTTAATAATGAGCTGTTAATTTGAATATTAAATAATTTGAATATTAAATTAACAGCTCATTTTTAAAATTTGAATATTAAATAATTTGACACGTAAGAAATTAAATAATATATAATTAATATTTATTTAGCATAAAATTCATATCATTAACGTCTGTTAAATTTTGGATGGTAAATTGTTTGTGAGACTAAAATTGTCTATTATTTGAATTTATGGACTAAAATTAAGCAATTTAAATTATGAGGACCAAAATTGCTCTTACACTAAATTAGAAGGACCAAAAGTGTAATTAAGCTTATTATTAAATATAGAATAATCTTAAAAATATTTTCGCTCAAAACCCAGACCCACTTACTTCCTAAAATTATTCTTCCATTTATAATTCAAACATTTTCTATTAGTTATAAAGTTTTCTTTAATAAATTTAATGATGTCAATTATAACAACATGATTTTAATGGTTTTTAATGCCAATTATGTGTTTTCATTAGTTTTATATTTTTTATGGACTTTATGAGCCTTTTGTTAGTTTATAAGTAATTTTTATTTTACTTTGTGCTCTCCTCCTTCACCATATGCACTTTGTTAGTTTTTTTTTTATCCTTTTAGTTTTGCGTGTGTAGTATCATTTTTTTTTTAATTTTTTTTTTGTGTTATCTATAGATCGTGAAGAAGCTTAACAATGACTTAAAATCATGTGTATGATAGTGGCAAGAATCGAGTATTCTCTTTTTTCATTTTTCTCCTTTGAGTAGAATTTACCACAAGGGTTATTTTATTACTCTCATGTTACATTCTCCATATTTATTCTATGTGATTCAATTTCCCACTCTATTGCTCAATTCTCCTTCTACAATGTATTTGTTGTCAAGAAAATAGAAGGTATATTTTTTCTTTTCATTCTCATTCTTCTCATTATTTTAGGATTAATAACTCCTTTTACTTGAGAAGGATAATTGAAAAATTGAGAAATATTATAATCAAGTTTTACACGTTTTATTTTAGTATTACAGAATATTGACAAATGAAGAATGAGAAGTTGATAAAAATTATATATACAAAGATATATTTTATTATTATGATTATTATTATTATTATTATTATTATTATTATTATTATGTTGACACCCATTACTGAAATTGCAATAATATGATGTTCCAATATAATTAATCACAATAGTCTTAAAACTTTCAAAGAAGAGTTCACCAATTACTACTAAACTCAACAAAATATGTAGAAGTCCTCATGACATAAGGCCTATATATCAAGTATAACCATTGTAGTTCAACAATATGAAAAAATAGAGGTAAACTTGTTACAGAATCAAACATAATAACAAAATAGAGAAGTAACAATTTCAATATATATAGTCAACTTAAAACAACATATTAATTTTCAACTCAAAACATAACCAAAATAAACAATCTTAACTTAAAACATGGACATCATTCTTAACATAAGCAACTTAGTCAACTAATGTGTCATTACACATATCAACTTATGAAGATCTCCTACAACTAAGGTGAAAAGTTTAAGCGTCTTGACATTATTGAACCGTAATATCTAACTTGTTTTATTTAGATCAAGAATAAACAACTTCAAGTCTCTCAAGCACTTGTTTAACAACTTATTTTGGTTTCTTAAGTTTCACCACTTAAGTTAGGAAAGTTAGTATTATTGTAAGGGCTAGAAAAGCTTATATGTGAGCTTACCACGACCTTAATATGAATAACTAACCTTAATAAGGAGTAAGTTTATCGACTATCCTCTAAATATTGTGTACCTTAATAGTACTTAGTTAGGGATTTTCGTCTTGACCTTTTATACCTTATTCAATTGGTTACTTCTTAATTAGTATGACTAGACTAGACCTCCATATTGTTCTACATAAAAACTCATATGAGACAACTTAAAAACAATTCTCATCCAGCAAACAACTTACTCACTAAAGGGTCGAATCCTAATAGTTTTAATAGTGACATATTCTTATTTTCAAATTATAGAATAGAGAAGTTCTTATGTGTGTTATAATAAGTTTTTTCAAATGTTTCAACAATATTTAAATATGATTAGAAGGATACATGAGCTCATGATTCCTTGAATAGTAAAAGAGATTCACAAGATATCCTTATAAAGAATATTAAGTTTTGATGGATTACCTATTAGCACTAAAGTCATGTCTGTCCTAAGCAAGAAGATGAGTATCCTACGTCTCTGATAAAAAAGATTCAAGTTAAACATTTATTCTTAGGAGAAATATCTTAAAAACTTGGTTCAGAAGACTAGCACTTTATGTTGACTATCAAAAGACTTCAATTAAAACAAAACTTCTTAGAAAACTTGTATTGAAGACCTTACTCATCAAGTGGAGTCTTACTCAGAAGGCACCTCACTTTAAAAAGCTGACATGACCAAAAAAGCAAAGTATAATGATGTCAACGTCTAGCTTAAAAGATAAGCAAGCCACAACAAATCTTTTTCTAAGTGATTATAAAGGAAGGACAAAGGTCTCGTTTTTAACCAAGCAAGATCAAAGAAAGAAATCAATTACACAAGTACAATTAGTAACATTCCTTGCTTTATACTCTGAATTTTTAGAGACTTCTACTTCATATTTGTATGTGTTTTGTAATAGAAAATAAGTGTGAAACCTTCTTGAGTTGAAGCTCCAATATAGGAGAGATATTCGTGGTCTTAACAATCTCCAAGAACACAAAAACCCATTATTGTAAATATTGTCCCTACCCAAAACTTAGTGTGTAGTGGTGTAGGGAAGTAAAAAGAAATCACAAGTTTTGTGTAGTCTCATACTAGGTGGTTATGGGATTGGTTTCTCAATAGGTTGTTGAGTGAGAAAATCTCAACAGGTGACTGAGTGTTTATTACTAACAACATGTGGTTGTATAGTAATGGCTTGTATCAACATGTGGTTCAATTCTTGAATAGTAGTTGAATGTGTTTTCTAGTGAAAATCCTACAAGGTTGTGTAGAGAATAGATGTAACCTAATTGAGGTGAATCCATATAAATCCTGCGCTCAATCTCTCTTTCCTTATCACTTTACTTGTTTAATTAACTTGCTACATTCATTATTACACTGCTACATAATTTGAATCACAAACAAATATACTTAGAAATTAACTTAAGAAAATACACTAAGTTCCAATATTAGAAGATCGATCTTTTGAATAACAGACTCTTAAAAAGGAATAGTTTTTTTTAAAAAAGTAAATAACGATTCAATCCTCTTCTTGTATTCTAACATTGACTTCATGAAGGATTTTCAAATTTAGGCTCTCAAAATACCACAACTTATATCCATACAATGAGATATTTTAATTTCTAAAACAAGCTTCCTGTACTTTAGTTCTTATGCAACTCAACTTAAACATGCATCACTTGTCTATACAACCTGTCATCATACAACTCTACTTCATATAACTTCAACTAATAACCAACTTTCAACTTAATCGACATAAGAATATAAACAACTTTCAACTTTATCAACTTAAAACATCATCATATCATCATAGATCAATATATAATGAACTATATTAAAACATCATCATACATCATGTAAACAACTAACATATTCAACATGTTTTCATCACTTAAGTAACTAAAATCACAAGTTTTCTTCAACATAACCACACCCAACACCATTCATTTGGTGCCCAACACTAGTGAGATAGAGAGCCTTTAGCTCACTCACACTCGATGCCAAAGTAATAGCGTCCGATGAGAATGAGATAAAGAGTCCCTATGTTCACCATGTACAACGTTACTAATCTCATGTCCAACGTTATTCAATCATAGAGTCTCTACTTGAACCACACTTGATACTACAAAACTTGCATGCAATGTTGTCCAAGAAGAGAACCACTAACTTGGTTATGCCTGATGCTACACAACCTATAATTGACATCACTAAGTTAGAGAGCTCCTTGTGAAATCACGTTCGTGCCTTTCATTTCACTCCCAACATGACTAAGTTAGAAAATTCTTAACCAATTCGCGCCTAATGTTACTAATCTCGCGCCCAATGTCAATGAGGTAGAAAGCTCCTAAAAATCGACATCATGCCTGATGTCATGAAGTTGCGCTTAGTGCGATGGTGATTGTTGCACTTGGCATCATTGGGATTCTGGCTCAAAACCTGTAAAACATAGACCAAACCAACCTACAATCATTCTCTCAACATATATACACTATAGATAAACTCAATTTTAGTGAAAGAAACAACATGCAACTATCAAAATAAAAAATCACCAAAATTCTCTTCAAAGCACCTTTAAAACAACACTTAGAACAAAAGGCTTTCTTCTCATGTTGAACCAAGTTCAACTATAAAAATGAATAATTCTAGGCAGAATTCAACAATTATACATCAATAATTATACATCAACAATATCAATCAACAAACTCCACTTAACTTGAATCTCTTGAAAAACAAGAAAAGAGAAGCTAGTGAAGAATAGAGGTTCCTAGAGTTCACCATACCATAACCATAACCCTAAATGCTAAGCCCACAAGCTTAAATCCACCAATTTACCACCCCTAATCAGTGAAGGGAAGGATTTAGAATGCCCTTATAAAATTAGAAGGAGAAAAAAATCTCTCTAACTCTAAAACCTATTTCTTTATCTTCTTTCTAACTTTCTTAGGATATGAACTTATGAAATTCATATTTTAATTTTTTTTGAAATACCTACTTCTAAACTTGGCCAACTTGAATCTGATAAAAAATAATTTCATAATATTTTAACTCTCAAGAATTTATTGATCCTTAGAGTTTTAAAACGACTAAAATCATAACATATCATCATTTAAATATCACACATCATATAATTATTAATAAAGGTTATAAAGAATGCAGTGTGTTATTTTAGAAAGAAAAAATAACGTGAGTCCCACATTAAATTCTTTCTTTTTATTTCGGTCTTTATATTGAGGTTGATAAGATTTAAGAATGCCAATCCGTGGTTTAACGTGTTGGGCATACAAGACTTCACTTAATATGATGGACGTAACATGTTGCAATAGATTCTGAATAATACTAAAAGTTGATTTTTTTATCACAACTAGTCTTCGATAACTTCTTGCTTTTGTGTTCCAATTTTTTGTCAACCAACAAAATTTTTCTCAATAATATTAATCTTAGTTTGCTACAACTCGTTCCTTTTTCTTTTGGGTTTAGACAATCCCTTTGTTTCTTTCCTTTCTGACAACATAAACCTGTTTTGGGTGAAACTATGATATAACACACTTGCACTGCAAATCAGCTAGTAGCTATTTATAGCAGTAGTTTCAGTTCCATTTTAGAGAGTCTACAAAACTCAGCAAATTCGGCCAATGTAAAAAGCTTAACACCCCTTTATTTTTTTTATTTTTTTTATCCTAGAAAGTTTTAGGATTGGTAGAAGAACTAAACAAAGCCACCATTGACACGAAGGATTTGACCGTTGACCCATTCAGCAGCGTCAGTGGCCAAGAATCCGATAACAGATGCAACATCTTTGGTCTCTCCGAGCCTCCCCAAGGGAATAGTGTCGACGACCCTATCCACCATCTCCTTCGTCTTCCCCTCGAAGAACAGCTCCGTCGCGATGGGTCCCGGCGCCACGCAGTTCGCCGTTATCTGCGTGCCCTTCAGCTCCTTCGCCAGGATCTTCGCCATCGCCTCCACCGCCGCCTTCGACGCCGTGTACGCGCCGTACCCGGGCTTCAGCGCCGCCACCAGCGACGTCGTCAGCAGGATTATCCGCCCCCCGCCGCCGCGCTTCAAGCGGTTCGCCGCCTCCCTGGCGCAGGCGAAGGCGCCCCGCGCGTTCACCGCGAAGATGCGGTCGAAGGACTCGACGGTGGTGTCGGCGACGGAGGGGTAGGCGCCGTCGTTGACGCCGGCGGAGTTGACGAGGATGTGGAGCGGCGAGTCGAAGGCGCGTTGGGCTGAGTCGAAGAGGGACTTGACCTGGGCCGGGTCGGACACGTCGGCTTGGACCACTACGGCGCGCGGCGTGGCGGAGTTGGCGTTGATTTGGGCCGCGACGGCGTGGGCTTGGGCCGAGTCGGAGGTGTAGTTGATGACGAGTCGCGCGCCGAGTGAGGCGAGGTGAAGCGCGATTTCTCGACCGATTCCGCGGGACGAGCCAGTGACGATTGCGACTCGGTCTTGGAGTGGGAGGGGTTGAGATTGAGATTGTGGTATAGCAGCCATTTGCGTGAATCTATAGTGTGTGATAATATAGTGATCAAAGTTGGCTTGTTCCTATGCATCCAATGTCACATATGTTTATAGAGATCAGAGAGACTACAAGTCAATGGATTTTTTATTTTATTTTATTTTATTTTATTATCACTAACTCAATGGACTTTTTGTTTGTTTGTTTGGAAATGTTAAATAACGGCACGACAAAAGATTGCGTATTTATCTGACTTATAGATAAAGGAATTTAATTTATACTAAAATTATTATAAATTTTAATAATATTTTACATATTCTAAGTGTACATGATATTGTCCTATAAAATAGTGTATATAATATTTAAAATTAAATAAAAATAATCATTAATATTATTTTAAACTTACAAATCAATAGATTTTAAAAGTAACTTAATATAAATAAAATGTTTATTTTTGTTTTGGATGTTGGAAGTTTCCTATAAATTTTGTGGGGTACAATCAATTGTGAATTTTATTTTGAAAAAATTGAGTAATATTATGATTCATTCAATGATACTTAAGATCACAATTAATGTGATCAAATGCTAATAGGCTTTGAACACCTAATTCTGATATGTGAAAAATAATGTAGGCTTAATAACCTCTAGGCCAATGATGGAAGCTATCTAGGGTTAAATAAATATTGAGTAGGTTTGTCCTATTGAAAATTTGGAATACTGGAGCATGTGATGGAACAAAGGTAAATTTAACTTCATAATTTCATGGTTCGTGCAACGCATAACAAATTCTTGGAAGTACATTCAATTATGCCTTTCACAAGTAAATAGTTAAGTGCAACGCATAACAAATTCTTTGAGGTACATACAATTGGTATTAACCCATGTTTTTTTTTTTTTTTGTAATTGTGAGGAATGCTTTGGATCTCTTCATGCGATTGCTTGCCCAAGGAGATGGTTGTATGTTTGGTTAAAAGTTAAAAAAAAGAATGGAATATTGGAGAAAACACTAGGTTAAGGGAATTGTTTACTCAAATGGGACGATTTTTTGAGCTTAGTGTATGCTCATGGATTAAACCATCAAAGGTTTTGACCTAGGTTGTTATCTTGGTTTGTGCATTTTTTCCAAAGGTGAATGTGTTATTTTACTAGTTCGATACTATATCTTGCTTTATTTTAAGCTATATCTTGTTCTATTATATGTTTTAATGCATTTTTATTTTGTCTTAACATTGAATTTTTATGTGAATAGTTATTTTGCTTACATTTAGATATTGACTAAATTGATCTATAACAAATGAAAGCAAAACCTTGAGTTCTCTTTCAAAATTATTGATCTTGCTTTTGCTTTGTGTGAGAATAAACATGCAATTATTGCAAATAATAAAGCTGTTAATTTGGGCTTAGCTAGCCTTTAATTAAGGTCAAACTCGACTTTAAAAGATATGACCTAAATAGAACCATGCTATTTTGACTCAATTTACTAAGACGGACGGGCCAAATAAGTCCAAGTTGTGTTGGCTTGTAAGCTTATAAGTTAGCTTGTTAAACTAATAAGTGGAATAATCTGAACTAGTGTCAATATATAAATTAGTAACGTATTATGAAATAATAAAAATAAAATATAATAATAGTAATAGTCTTTAACTCTTTTGTGTTTACTTATAGAGTTGTGGTTACAAGGAGTTAAGATTAGTTGTTGTAAGAGTTTTTTTGCCCTCATTGTGCCCTTATTGATTGACTCCATAACCCATCGTTTCTGTTTCATTTTTTTTTGAAGAAAATGAAGGCCTAGTCATGCTCGTGCCTATGCTCATAGAGTCACAATATCATTTATTGCTCTATTGATTAATGTTGATGTTATCCCTTGGTTCCAACTCTTACCAAATACTAAGTATGTTATTTTATTTTTTTAGGATTTTGTTGTGTGGATTGAGAATTGTGAATTGAATTTTAACTTATTGTTGCTTTATTGCTTGATGTTGCTTTATTGATAGTTGTTGTTGCTTGTGAACTAAACTATGAATTATGTTGGCTTGTTGTTGCTTTATAACCCATTGTGGGAACTATGAACGTAATGAGTAAACTTTTTTAATTTTGATTATTGTAGTCAAGAATGTTGATAACATTTTTCATAACAGGGAGGACTCCACCTAACACAAAGAGAGAGCCTATTGTTGCTACTAATCCTTCTATCACTACTATTGGTAAAAAAAAAACGTAAAAGTAGGGTTATTAATTACAAGACCAAGATACTAAAAAGGTTAAGAAAATTAAGCCTATTACCTTTGAGGACACTATAATACAAAATGCTATAAGATCAGTTATAATGAAAAGATTGGTCTAGTTGATGGGGTGGATAAATACAAATGCAATGGTTGTGGGAAATTGTATACATATAAAGTTATGGTATTTCATGATTGTATCTTGATAATTGCCAAATATGTATAAAATTTTTATTCAATTTAGTCAATTATTAAATATATTTTATGCTTCAAAATCTTGTTTTTGGTCTCAAAAACTTAGTTAATAGTTAATTTTAATTTTAGGATGTATTTGTTTAATATTAGGTATTTTTAATATTTTTCTTTGTTGAGATATGACATAGGGAAAATGTATCTTGAAAGCTATAGGTCTCAAAAGAAACCAACTCAGCATTGCTCCAAAACCACTGGACGAGTTCTAAGCGAGCCAAAATTTGCTCAAAGCGACCAACAACTCGCTTTGAGTGGGGCAAGTCAAAGACTACACCTAGAAGAAGATGTTATCTCCCTTAAGCGAGTGGAATGCTTGCTCTAAGTGAGCCAGAATTCTCTAAAAGTAACCAATAACTTGCTTTGAGTGAGACAATTCAGAGAATACCCCTTAGAAGATGATGTTAGCTCGCATAAGTGAGCAAGGTGCTTGCTCTAAGGGGGCAAAAATTCGCTTAGAGTAACCACTATAAGCGCTTTGAGCGAGGAAAGTCAAAGACGCCTCTAAAAGGATCGAACAAACTTGCTTAAGCGAACCACATGGAGGTTCTAAGTGAGTATGCACAAACAAAAGCCCATTTGAAATATTATAAATTAAATTTTTTTAAAGGGTCTTTGTATCTTATTTTTCACGAACACAATTTTAAAGATATTAGAGAGAGTTTTGTGAGAGAACATTTATGTAATCACAAGTTACTTATGTTAGAAAAGATGATTGATCCAAGAGGGGTGAATTATTTTTAGGAATAAGATATGTCTTATCAGTCAATTTTTTGTCACTGGCCTTATTATGGGTTGTTTAACAAAAAAATACTAAGGAAACAGAACACTCAACAAGTAAGAGAGAAAGAAAACGAGAGAGAGAGAAAGCAACTAAGGAAGAGAGCAAAGCGCGATAAATGAGAAGAGTAACGGGTATTTCAAACAAATGGAGAAAACACAAAAGGGAAAACACATTTAAAAGGGGTTCATAATGACGGGGTGCATCCCATCATTACAAGCCGTCACCCTTCATTACAAGCCGCCCATGCGTTTCGGGAAACGAGGCGACACTTTATGACACATGGCATTTTGCCCAAGAAGCAGAGACGAAAAGTCGCGACCCCCCACCAAACTCGGTATCAGCTCCTTGACCCGAGGTCTTCAGAGCTCGGGGGACTAGTGTACTATCCGCGTCGAGAAGCCAAGCTTGAGTTGACACTAAAGCACTAAACGACATCGGATATACGCCACATGATATCAGCCAGAGCAAATGCCCACTATCTATCGGGTCGAGGTCAATCGCAGGCCCAAATCAACGTTACCCTCGCCTAAGAGGAAAACCCTAATTCATATCAAGGTATGTTCACTACATATATGAAACGATTACACTATCAAAGACTAACTTTAGCATCGAAGTCTCTTTTACAGGTACCACCCCCACTTCGGAGCAGCCGAGGTGCCCAACAAGGAAGGTTCACCAATCTTGCCCAGTAGATCGTCCCTCACGACCGATCTCCGGTAAGAATAATATACAATTTTTTTATGATATTAAGAAAAGCCAATTTTGATGTCTAGTCCAATATACTATTTATAGATGCAAATGGCAGCTGTATATAGCACTAGACAGACGCAACACTACATAAACCAATGGCTTCTACTTCATAATCTCAATCCCTACTGCTCCAAGATCGAGTTGTAATCGTCATTGGCTTGTCTCATGAATCGGTCGAGAAATCGTGCTTCACTTGGTCTCACTTGGCACGCGAATCATCATCAATTACACCTCTAACTTGGCCCAAGCCCACTCAGTCACGACCCAAATCAATGCTAATTCTGCCGCACCTCACCCCATCGTGGTCCAAGCCGACGTGTCCAATCTACTCCATGTGAAGTCCCTCTTTGACTCGGCTGAGCACGCCTTTGACTCGGTGGCCACATCCTGGTCAATTCGGTGGATAAAAGTTTAATTCAACTTTACAAAATCAACTTGTAAGACGATGATTGCTATTTATTTATATACACTATATGAGATTATTTTTAAACAATGTGAGATATTCATCAATTTGTTTACAATTTTATCATTCTTAACATCTTTAAGAAGGTGAAACTAGCGTGTATTATACCAGTACCAATACATAATTCTGTTCATGAACTTTCTATTGTTTATAAAGATTTCCATAGATGCAATGTTTACCGTTTGATTCTCTCTACTTCTTTAGCCTGCTATTTATGTCACAAGTCTTGTTGTTGTAGAGCTGCTTCGTGCACGTGAAGGAGGCCAGCATATTATTGACTCATTTGATGTTACATGTGGTTGAAGCTTGGGAGAATATACTGCTCTGGCATTTGCTGGGGCTTTCAAGTGAGTTGCCAAAAGTAATTACTATATATTACAATTACTTTTATATTGTGTTCCCTCTCATTCCCTAAATTTTTTATCCCATATTTATCCCCATGATGTATAAAGAAATCTTCACAAAAATAAAAGCATAATAAATTAATAAGTAATTATGGAATGTGTCTTTTGGCCATTACACTAATGTGTCATAGTTTAGAAAGTATGAAACCAACTGGATAGTTAATGAGTGAGTGACCCAACCATGGGTTTTCTGGATGTGAATGATTGATTTAAAGTTTTCTATTTGCTCCAAATCTCAGACTTATTATTTGTAGTTTATGGGTAAATTATCCATCTATAAGAAGTTTAGAATCATTATTTATCAGCTTGAGCAAATGAGGGAAGGAACAAAAGTATATATTCTTCTAATATATATATATATATATATATATTAGTTTGTTATAGTTATTTTCATATGTTCTAACTCGGATAGTTCTGGTTGGATCTCTAATTCGAATAGTTCGACACTATTATTTCGGCTTTGTCGAGATCATACAAAGTTGGTTCCCGAGATGAGTCTCTTCTCCGTTGTATCTTTCTTCAAGCGTCTTGGATGTACCTGCAAAAAGGACTCTGACGATCAAGTTAGTCTTTGTCTATTATCCGTCTTCATACTTATCTCTTACCTGAGTTGTGCGGTTTTCTGATGTAACTACTATAGCGGTTACCTGAGATGAGTTGATTACGGTTAGATCGGTCATTATCGTCACGTGTTATACATCTGATATCGTCTATATACTGAGGTGTCTGTATTATTGACTTCAGGGTCTAAGTCAGCTCATATATAGTCAATACATTACAATGTGATCTCGGTATGATCTTAGTTCTATCTCGGTCCTGCACCTAGGGTGGTACATAAGCCCCCCAAGCTCTGAGCGATGTAAGAGCGAAAGAGGTTAAGGACGAGTGAATGGCCCGAGATCAAATAATGAGGTGTGAAGTGACATGAGGAGTCATAGTGTTTGAGTAGTGACAGCTGGGCATTTAGGGGGTCATGTCGCTTCAGTATGCGTGTTTTAGGGGTAATAATGTTTCATTAATAGGTGCCAAATACGAAACGACAGTTGCCTTGGGATGTGCAGAAAAGAAAGAAAACCTTTGAGTTCTAGAGGGATGCGAAAACGACCATTTAAAGGGGGTCTCTGCACATGTGAATGCATTCGTATTCACTGAGAGAGACGTTAGAAAGTGAAGCGTGAAAGTAGCATCATTTGTGGAGTGTTTGCATTGTGCAATTCCAGATATTCACTCATCCTTGCTGCTTTGCGTTTAAATTTCCTCCACCTTCCGTACGTAGCTCATAGGTTTAGGTTGATGAGCAAGGGTAAGACGAAAAATGGCCAAGGAAAAGGTAAGATGATGGACATGGAGGAAACGAAAGTTTGAAAGAGGGGGGAGGGGGAAACAATCGTAAAGATTCTCATCCTAAAATTGCAGTATCTAGGTATGAATGGGTGAGGGGTGACGTTGGTCAATATAGCAGCAAGTTTGGGGATTTAATGGGAGTAAGCGTGTTGCAACACCATTTAAAGTTTTGTTTACCCCCTATGTTAGAGCAGATCATAATAGAACCCTGTTCTTCGAAAGAACGTGTGTACTTTGAAGGGTCAATCGCGTCACCTAGTGTATACATGTATCAATGCGTGTTTAAGGATTTAGGCGTTCTAATGCCTTTTACACCATTCGAATGTGAGTTTTTGGAAAAGGTTAACATAGCACCAAGTCAATTACACCCTAATAGTTGGAGTTTTTTGCGTGCGTTTCAAATTCTGTGTTCGGTATTAGGGATGGAAGTAAGTTTGGGGAGATTCATGCACTTTTATCAAATAAAATTAGGAGAGCCACCCTTTGGTTGGGTTTCGCTGAGTGGGAGTTCAAAAGGAGGAGGATTATTTCAAATTTTTGCACAATCATACAAAATTTTTAAAAAAGAATTTGTCAAAATTCGGTCTGGTTGTAGTGATCCGAATTTAGATTGTGTCTTTTTCTTGAATGAAAAATCGAGATTCCCCTTCTATTGGCAATCTCAGCCTGTTAAATTTTCTGGCTCGGAAGGTTTAGACCTAACTCCATCCGAGGTGGAAGATATAGAAAAATTGCAAAAGCTACCTCGGCCCTTAGAAAGCAAGTCGGTTATAGTGCTTGTTGGATCCAAGAATCCTCAAGAGGATCTAGAAAGTAAGTGATAGTTACGATATTGATAATGATTAAGTATTATTTAAATTGATTTCAATATAATGTTATTGTTGCTAATATGGTGTAGGTATCATGGGACGAAGTAGATGGCGTGAACTGAAGGGAAAATTCAATATAGATGAAATTCCAGATATGGCTTCTTCTAAGCAGAAAGTGAAGAAACAAAAGATAGAAGGTGAAAACCTTAATATTGATTTTTTTTTAATATAATCAATTCAATTCATGTTCAATATAATATTTGAGAAAATAATTAATTTTTTTTTATATGTTGATTTCTTATACCAACCATTATTTACTTTCAACATTTTTTTGTTGTTGTATATTCAAATTTCACAAATAGATATGGATCACAATTTAATGAATACCAATTGGATAAAAAGGGAAGAAAATAATTATCAACATTAAGTCCTCATATCCCATTTATTTCATTTATTAACAAAAAGAACATCTCTAATTAAGAGCTCTCTACATATTGTCTACTTTAATAATAAATCGAATGATGTTACTGAATAAGGAGCAAGTACAACATTCACATTTCCGCTGGCATGATGAAGTGAAGTTTGTTGTAGTGCAATCTGCATTTAAAATGAAGAAAAAAAAACATATAAGATATTTTTCATAGATTTATCGATCCAACTGTGTAAATATATATACAAATTAGATTTGACCTTGTTTGGTTCTTCAAAGGAATTCTCTTCTCTCACGTTAGGCCCCGTGAGCACTGTCTTTGTTGCTCCAGATGGCTGGACATTCAACCCACTAACAAAAAATCTCAAGTTTTCTGGGTCACTTCCAAAGTTTACCACCTGCAAATTATGTGATCAAGTGAATCCACCATCGTCTATATCTTATCTTAAATTTAATTTAGCATTCTCATTCTTGATGAAATCTCAATTACCTTCATTCTCAAGTAATTCTTCTTATCTGCAGTATTTGTGTACTCAATTGCTGATGCAACAATTCGATCAGAAGAAGTTTCAAGTGTTGAATTAAGCAAAGTGGCTCCACTTGAAGTAGTGAAAAGACGTTGAAGCCAATAACTAGGGGTTTCATAATGCCGGTAAGAGTCAAATACAATTGCATCCGGTGTCCACCTAAAGTAATACAAATTAACCATCTTAATCTTAATTTATACATTTCATATATAATAATAATAATAATTAAATTAACAAAACAAATTGATAAAAACAAGTCTACTGTATGAAAATTACCTCCTGTTATTTGCATTCACAAAGAGAGGTGCATAACTGACCATTTGGACAATGTCACTGCAAGAAAAACAAATAATAAAAAGATTTAATTCAAAGTGACACCAACAAGTTCATAAAATAAAATTCATGCAAAAACTATATAATTAATCTAACCTATTTCTTTCTAGTCCAATAAGGAATGCAGCTTCGGCCACTGCAGACAAAAGGGTTCCATTTCCAGCATCTCCCCTCCACACAGCATACTCACTAACAAATGCCTGTGAAACAAATACTCAAATCTATAATTAACGCTAATAAATATATACACCATAAATATTTAATAAAAATCGTTGAACAATCACACCTTTGGACCAGACCGTGCTACGTTATCGAACTTGCTATTCTTCCAAAACATATCCTTGGAAGTTGTGTAAATCTATTAACAAGAATAACATTAAGTGATCAGAATTGTCAAAAATTTTTTATTTTGTAAAGAATTATGAAATTAAAAAAAAACTTAAAGAGTAATGTGGTTACATGGAAATCATAGAGATCAGCTGGATGATCCAAAGGCTTTTGAGAACCATCACAATTTGTGATAATTTGAATATCTGGATAAGCGTGTTTTATGGCACCATAAAACTTGAGATAGTTTCCTGGGCAAATCAAAATACCAATAAGAAATATGATAACTGATTCAGTATATATATATTCCTGTACCAAACATTTAGAAATTGTTTTAATGTTGTCGTAAAATATATATACAAAAAGAAAGAAATAAAACATACCCTTATAATTAGGCTTGCCACAATCTTCATTTCCAATAGCAACAAATCTCAAGTCAAATGGCTTAGGGTGTCCCATGGAAGCCCTAAGTGATCCCCATTTTGATTTGGGAGAACCTCTTGCAAACTCAAGGCCGTCTAGAGCTTCCTGATAATTAATTAAGGGGAAAATATAAATTAAAAATAATAATATTAAAATTCTGAAATACTATATAATAAAGGATAATATGAAAATTAGAAGAAAATATATTATATATACTTGCACAAAAGGCGCAATGGCAGCTGTAGTAACTTCGTCATGATGGCTGATACCTAGAAGGAAATTTTAGGTTAATTAGAAATTCAAAGAAAATTTTCAATTATAGGTATGAGACTTAAAACATCAAATTTTTTTATTTTTGATTGTTACTGACCGAGAATAATTTTTAACTATAAATGCTCAACCTGCAGGAACAAATTTAGTTAAGATATGGAACTGTACCATTGTTAAACACCCAGACGGGGAATGCACCAAGATCCTCAGCCAACTGCAGAATAATTAAGATTCAGAATTCAATAGGAAATTTTTAAAAAAAATGCATTTATTTATTTATATGTAAAAGGAAATGAATGAAGGTAGGTCACCTGGAGGCCCTCAAAATAACCAAAACCATCATCAGTCCAATAATTCCACATATCTCCAAAGTGTCCTGGTCTCTCCTCCCATGGTCCAACACTGTTTTTCCACCTAAATGCATTTCTTAGATAATCTCCTTCAATGTAACACCCACCTAACATAATCCCAAACACATTATACTATTATATTTACTCTAATAATAATATAATGCCAAACCTAACTTTATTAGAATTTTAACAAACCGGGGAATCTGAAAAATTTTGGCTTCAAATCTGCTACCATTTGAAAAAGGTCCTTTCGGAAACCATGACCCTGTGTGAAGAGAAGAGAAGATTAATTAAGTGACATTAGAAAATAATTATAAGTGCATTGCCAATTAAGGATGATGCATACCTTATATGTGTCTAAGGGCATAGCTGACACTTGGTCCAACCATACAACTCCTTTAGTGGTTGTTGTTATTTGAAGACTCGCATTATGATTTGTAGCCTTTCCTTCCAATATAGTCTCCATCTTGGTCCACTTTGAAATATGAGGTCTTCCAGAAACTCTGCCAACATACATAAATATTAATCAACAATTAATGTAGTCACAAATTAAAGAATATATAATTAATTTAAAAACGTACCTAAACATTTTAGAAGCCAACTCTTGACCATTCTCCGATCCAACAAATGAAACGTTTAGATCCATTGGACCCTGTGCTTTGACATAGAAGATTACTCTATATTTCTGCGCTTTCTCAATATTCTGATAACAAAAATTAGAGATGATCGATCAGAAATATGAATGTATATAAATCATAAGTTTAATTTAATAAAAAAAAGTATATAATAAGATTACTGACCATGCCCCAGTAACCAGGGTTGGAGATGCCAACACCTCCATGTGGGCAAGATTTGGGTCCATCACAGAAAACATCCAAACGTACTGCAACTTTGTTTCGCTCAAAGCAAGAGCTTCGATCAGTTGAGACCAGAATGTTTGTATCATCTCCAATAATTGTCCAAGGACTAATATTTGAGGGAACATTCGGGCCTCCAGCTTCAAAACCTGTTAAGACAAAATGTCAATAATTAATGTCTCATTTCAAAATTGGAATATATAAAACCAAACATCATTTTATCAATGTAGATGACCTCTGTTCCTCACTAGCTCGGCCCAGATTCCTCCAGCCCCTGCATGATTGATCTCCTGCAATAAAATTCTTAACTTAATTGCCTGAACTCACACTTTCAAATTTCATTTATAAACTCTAAAAAAAATATCATATTATTTATATATTACTTCAAAAAATGCTCCGAAGAAAGTATCTGGAATTTTTCTCCCAGACCCTTTAGCACCATCTACTATCAATGTTGATGTTTGCTCTGCCAAGCAGCAAACTGTGAAACAGGTTAAGTAAATAAAAAATATTTTAATAGAAAGAGACATAGTTGTTTGCATTGTTCCACTTCTAACTAGTGTTGTGAGTACTTCTCTTGAGCTCTATTTATAGCTGAACTAACAGGTGACACAACAGATTAGTAACAAATTGGATAAGGCAGTTTAGTAGTAGTATCCCAACTGCTTTCATTTTAAATCTGCTATTTCAAAGAGATTTAGGAACCAGTAAAAAATTGGTTAAGATCTTCAATTCAATTGCTAACCATTATTTATTTAAAATCAATAAAGAATTTAATTATCATCCGATTAGACCTTATTCTAGTTTTATTATAGTATTTGTGCACCAAAAAAATAAATTATTTTTATATTTTTACTAAAATGGTTCATCATTGGAAATGCAGATAGAATTGAGTTCAAATGATATTTGTGAAACTAATGAGGAGTCCTTGCTTGATGCATTTATCAGGGACTGCTATGATGCTAACTTGATTTTTTGTTAGAATTAATAGAATATGGGAGTCATTTTTATTCTATTGATCGTTGAAAGAATTTGCTGCGTCATAGAGATTAAGATTAAGATGTTAACAAAACAATATATAGTTATCTTCATATTGATCTTATTGTTATTATTATGAGGGGAAGGGGTTTTTACTTCATCTTGATCTTGTTCCTAATTTCTATGGGAGAGATGGGAAGGAGATTGGCTCCCAAGATGCTCTCACTCTATACGTTGTTGTTATAAACTCTTGCATGTGCATGTGATCTTCTTGATGTGCTTATTAAAATCTGTTTAGTTTTGGCCCATGGTCCTGAATTTGGAAAAATGATGAATTGTATTCATCTGTTTGCTAAAAAGCTAGCTATTGCCCTACTATTTTTTGTTGAATCTAAGATGCTTGCATGTCTCAAACTAATATTGCATGTTTATGTTTCTGTATACATGAATGACAGATCCGTGTTTAGGAAGGTTCAAGGTGTTTTTTTCATCCTATTATGTTCTGGAATAAGTTGTTAAAAGATGGGAAAAAGTAAAAGTTCATAAGGTCTATATATGGTGACTATATATAAGAAATTAATCTGCCTGGAAAACCTATGAAACTGTTTTTATTTATTTATTTTTCTTATATGTTTTTGAAACACTTCGTTTGAGTTACTCAGAAACCATTTTTGAAGATCTTTGCGGATTTAAAGAGCTTAAACGGATAAAATAAGACCTACAAATGAGAGAGTCATGGCTCCCAATATGAACTCCAAAAAAAGCTCTTATAGCTATCCAGAAAATTATTTTTGGAACTATAAAGTTAAATTTGTTATTTCAACCAAAAAAAAGGGAAAAAAACTTGCTTCTGACTTTTTTTCAACAAATAGGAATGGAGAGAAAATAGCAAGATTTTATAAATTAACTAAAATGAGATACAGATTTTACGCACTTAGTTATTTTATGAATTATCATTTTATGTATAAAAAGTGATATGGAAAACATGAAAATGACATGGAAAATTTCAAAATAATATTTTCAACTTGATAATCTCGGTAAAGTATTTTATTCCTGATATTAGTTGCTTAAATGAACATGTACTTTTTATATTAAATTAGTACTGAAAATAGTAAAAATACAAATTGTATGAATATAAATTAAAACCCTAAATAATTAATTACCTTAGACCAAGATGTAAGTTTTATACATAGCATTTTGAAGAAAATTTAATTAGTCATAGTTATTATAAATATATACAAGATTAAAAGAAATATTTTTAAGTTATAAATGAATAATAAGGTGCGTAAATATTATGCTATAAATTTAATCAGCAACCTAGTCCAAGTCCAAGTATAAAAATAAATCTCGGAAAGATAATGTGGCAATATAATGGGTGCGTATGTATACTAAATTATGAATCTAAGTTAGTCTAAGTATAAAAATATTATCTTTTTACTAGTCAGTATAAAATGCCAATTAGCTAGATGCATTATAATTAAAAGGACATCAAATAAATTAAATACAATTTACAGAGTAAAAAATAAAATAGCGGAATTGCTAAGAAAATAGGCTATAAATGTTATGTTGTATGTTTATATACTTTTTGCGTAATGTTTGCATGCACGGTTGCGTGTGTATGTGATTTTTACGCATTTATCGACAGGTAAGGGTGTTTAAAAAATTATATTAAACTAAAGTAAAAATTAAATTAAATTAAACTAAATTATAAAAAATTAAACTAATTTTTATAAAAACTAAACTAAATTATATTTGAAATTTAGTTTTAAAAATTAAATTATTATAAAAAGTAGTTGAGTGCACTTTAACTATAAAAAAAAATTTATAATTAGGAAATGTTTTAAATAATTAATTAGAACTAAACTAATAAATAATTAAATTAAATTAAAATAATAAAAAAAACTAAATTATTTTTATAAAAATTGAACTAAAATGAATTTTATGTTCAATTTTATAAATTTAAAACTATTTTTTAAAGAGTAGTTTGTTAGACTAAATTATTAATAAAACTTAATTCTTATTATTAATATATTTTTCGTAACTTTTTAATTTTGTCTATTACCCACTTTTGAGTTAGTATACTAGTGGTTTAGTGCTATTATGCACAACTACACAAACAGTGTAGAATTGATGCGACACGAGACCAAAGCAAGATGAAGAAAGCTGGCTCTGCTAGGGTTTTGGAGAAAGACGAGTCTCCTAACGATAATCCCTTACTCCGAAGCACTAAGAAGGTGAAAACGAGAGATAGTGGTGAGCCAGCCTCCGAATTGGTAGATGCGTTTATGGAAGAGCCAGTGGAGATTCCAACAACGTGTAAAAACTCTCCTAAGTCTTATATGGAAAGTCTTCTTTCTCCTAACGGTGGGAAGATTTTCACTGATCTAAATAGTTTAATGAAGGAGATGGTGTGTCCAGAAGATGCAATCTATTATGATAAGGATGATTCAGTGGAGGATGAGGTAGAGCTAGACTCATGTCCTACTATTCCTGTCACGCAGGAAGAATTCGAAGAATGGTGCTCTCCCTGGAGGAACTCTCTGGTTATCAATGTGCTTGGGAAACGCGTGACCTATAAAATGTTGGACAATAAAGTACAACGTGAATGGGCTAAATCTGGGATTGTCCGCCTAGTTGACCTAACCCAAGACTACTATCTTGTTCAGTTCTCCTCTGAAGACGACTATAAGCATGCATTATATGAAGGGTCGTGGATGATTGCAGACCACTACATTGTAGTACAAAGGTGGAGGCCATTCTTTACGCTCACGACATCACAAACCCGTAAAATTGCTGCATGGGTTCGCATTCCAGGTCTACCAATTGAGTTGTTCAATGATCGCTTTCTTTGGCGTGTAGGAAGCAAATTGGGCACAATGCTTAAGATTGATAAGCTGACTTCTGTCCAGACTCGTGGGAGATTTGCCAGGATATGTGTGGAGATTGATCTCAAGAAAAAATTGGTACCGCATATAAATGTTCTTGGGCATATCCTTCACTTGGAATATGAAGGTCTTCACTCTATCTGTTTTCATTGTGGCAAATACGGTCATAAACAACATCATTGCTCTGCGTCCTTGGTGCATGATGATTCCCGTAACAAAGCGGCGAATAATCATGATGTGCCCATGGATGCTACGGTTGAAGACGATCTGATTAAGGTGGGAGAATCGATTCCTAGTAACGAACTACAAGATTCTAATCAAGTTTCGTTAAATCCGGGCTGCGCGGATTTGGTGGACCAATACAGACCTTGGATGATTGTGAAACGTAACAAGAAAAATGCAAGATATCGTACGCAAAATATGGGAAAGGATAAAATTAAAGAGTTGGGCCCCGCTAACCGAATTTCAAATCAGTATGAATATAATTCAAATGATGTGACTACTGCAGTTCACCAGTCTGAACCCCAAAAGGAGGGCCACGGCCTGCCCAAGCAGAAAAGCTCAGTGGTAACAGTCCGTAACCCCTTAGCTGGGAAAAATCCACAAGTGCCACAAAGAAAGAACAATGCCCAAGGCAAGAACAAGGTTATAGGTGCCCCATCATCTAGTGCAACAGATTCCACATATAAAGGTGGGGCCCAACATCTTCCTACCTCACCAAAACGTAATCTTGCATGGTTAAAGAGTTAGCATGCAGAACGTGAAGCGGAAAATACTGCTAAGGTAATCACGGGTCTAAAAAATGCAACACATTTGCAAGATGATTCCATGCATAATGGAAATGCGTTAATTATGCAAGTTTATGCTCCAGAAGCTGATACATTAGCATTCACAAATGCGATGAGACAATACTTTGATCCGAGAGCTTCTAACAAGGATAAGAGTAGTTTGAACAAGCAAGCTGGAATTGTTCCACATGAAGACTCAAGGGTTTCAAACCCAAATCCCCCATCCGGTTCAGTATGAATATACTAAGTTGGAACTGCAGGGGGGCTGGATGTAAAGGCTTTGTACCTCTTGTGAATGATCTAATTCATGATAATAATGTGGGTATATTGTGTTTGTTGGAAACACATGTTAGTGGTGCAAAAGTGCAGCAAATAGCTCGTCGCATTAAGCTCGACAAATCCTTCGTGGTTGACGCGGTGGGACATGCAGGAGGTATTTGGTGCTTTTGGGACTCAACAAGGTGGGCATTGGAGGTTCTTCATCACTCTAATCAGTTCGTCCATTTTGCGGTTTCTTGTGGCTCAATAACCTGGGAGTTGACGTTTGTCTACGCTAACCCTCATCCACAATTTCGTATAGGCCTTTGGCGAGAACTTAGTAGGATGGCAAAGAATATTCAAAATCCATGGTGCATTATGGGTGACTTCAATGCGGTGTTGAAAGATTCTGAACGCAAGGGAGGCTCACGACCCTCTGCCTGCGTCCGAGGTGATAATGCTTTTAAAGAATTTGTCCTTGAGTGTTACCTGTTGGATATGGGTTACCAGGGAGCCCCTTTTACTTAGAAAAGAGGATCAATTTTTGAAAGACTGGATCGTGTTCTGGTTAGCTTGGCTTGGCAATTGGCTAACCCAAATGCAAACGTCCTTCATTTGAACCCTCTAAAGTCTGACCACTGTCCCATTTTATTGAAATTCTCACAAGCACCAGTTAATAAAATTCGGAGACCTTTTCGTTTTGAAGCCGCATGGCTAACCCACCCTGAATTCCTTTCCTTAGTAAGGGAGAGCTGGAATGAGCAAATGGATTGGTCAAGCAAGGTTAATAACACACAACGATGTTTGCTTGATTGGAATAAAACTACCTTTGGCAATATCTTTTCTGCCAAACGTCGGCTGGTTAGGAGGCTAAATGGAATTGCATCTCGTCTTCTTCAAGAGGATAACCCATTCCTTATAAATCTTCAAAAAGAATTATGGAGCCAATATGAACTGCTTCTTATAAGGGAAGAGTTATTTTGGTTTCAGAAATCCCGGTGCAAATGGTTGGAATTTGGAGATCGAAATACTAGTTACTTTCATGGTACCACCGTTATTCGACGAAGGAAAAACAGGATTGTGAAACTACAAAATGAAGAGGGTGTTTGGATAGAGAACTAACAAGAACTAGAACATTTGGTGACTGACTTCTACAAAAACCTATTTCATGATTCTGGAAAGTATATGCCCTATTGTCTCACTTCCGCATTTCCTTCTCTCACAACCCAGGAATTGGAGGATTTTGCTCAACCTTTCTCGGACATGGAGATTCATAGTGCGTTAAAAAGAATGGGTGGACTTAAAGCCCCTGGGCCAGATGGGTTTCAAGCTATATTCTACCAATCCCAGTGGAATACAGTGGGTAAGTCTCTTTGCCGCTTTATACATGCCTGTGAAAAAGAGCCAAGGAAGATATCTGAAATTAATGCTACCTTGATTACTCTCATTCCAAAAGTTGATAATGTAGTTTCTCTACAACAAATGCGGCCTATTAGTCTATGCAACGTATCCTATAAAGTGATTACTAAAGTCCTTGCCTCTCGACTTAGGAAAATTATGGAAGGACTAGTAAGCCCGAACCAGTGTAGCTTCGTTCCTCATCGTCAAACAACTGATAACATTATCATCACCCAAGAAGTGATTCACTCCATGAAACGTAGATCAGGAAAGAAAGGTTGGATGGCTATCAAAATTGACCTCGAGAAAGCCTATGACCGCCTCAAATGGAAATTTATTAAAGACACTTTGGAGGATATTGGTCTTCCCAAACAGTTCGTGGAGATGGTGTGGGCTTGCATCTCTACTCCTTCTATGAGCATGCTTTGGAATGGGGAAAAGCTGGAAGATTTCACCCCATCCAGAGGTATAAGACAAGGGGACCCATTGTCACCTTACCTCTTTGTCCTATGTATGGAGCGCCTATTCCACTTTATAGAAATTGCCGTGACTCACAAGCTTTGGAAGCCTATTAAGCTATCAAAGGGAGGGCCGCCTTTATCTTACCTCGCCTTCGCTGATGATCTGATCCTCTTCTCTGAGGCTTCTATGGATCAGGTTGAAATAATTCAACAATGCCTTGATATCTTTTGTGAAAGTTCAGGTCAAAAGGTTAGCCTTGAAAAGACTCGCATTTTTTTCTCAAAGAATGTGGGTTGGGTGGTTAAGAATGAGATTAGCAATGCCTTTGGTTTCCAGCGTACTGATAACCTCAGTAAGTATCTAAGAGTAAATATCCATCATGACAAAGTTAATCGTCATCTGCTAAGGTCTGTAAAGGAGAAGGTGAACCAAAGGCTTAATTCGTGGAAGGCAAGAAATTTATCCTTTGCTGGTCGTTTGACACTCACAAAGTCCGTCCTAGCGGCAATCCCATCCTACACTATGCAAACTGTGTTTTTTCCCCGACAACTTTGTGATGAAATTGACAAGTCTTGTAGATCCTTCATTTGGGGGCATACTAGTGATTAGAGAAAAGTTCATGTTGTAGCTTGGCAAAAAATCTGCAAGCCAAAAGAGGAAGGAGGTCTTGGAATGAGAGAGATGAGACTTGTTAATAAATGTTCTATGATGAAGAATTGTTGGACAATATGCTCGCAACCTTCTAAATTGTGGGTCCAAGTCTTGAGAGATAAATATAAATGTGGGAATGCTTCTGTTTTAAATATTGAGAAGAAATCAAGTGCATCAAATGCTTGGAAGGGTATCTGTGACGCTTGGTCATCTGTTCAACCTTTTATTGCATGGAATGTTGGAGATGGAACACAAGTGCAGTTTTGGAAGGATCGTTGGCTTCCTTCCCAAACTCGTCTATTAGAGGTGGCCTTAGAACCAGTCCCAGAGCATGAAAAAGGTAAATTCGTATCTGAATATATCACCGAGGAAGGTTTATGGAATCTGAACAATATTCATTTTCTACTTCCCACGTCAGCCTAGTTTGAGGTGTTAGGATCTACTCCACCCTCGTTAGAGGTTGACCCCGACGTTATGGTGTGGGGTGGGTCCCCAACAGGAGCTTTTTCTATAAAATCGGCTTACAATACAATTCGTACTACTTCCAATGGATCCCGTAGTGTGTTTAAATTAATTTGGAAGTGGCGCGGCCCAGAACGAGTGAAGTGTTTACTTTGGCGAGTGGCTCATGATAGTCTGGTTACAAATGATTGGCGTAGTAGGAAGGGCCTAACAAATGAGCCTTATTGCCCTATTTGCAAAAGAGAAAGGGAAACGATTCTGCATGTGTTACGTGATTGTCTCTTTGCAAAATCTATTTGGCTATCCTTATACCGTGGGGCCCTTGGAATTGATTTCTTTTCAAATGCGACCCTTGATTGGTTGGAGAGCAATTTATCAAAAGGAGACAAAGCATGGGCTGTCATTTTTGCACTATCTATAAACTTTATTTGGAAGGCTCGAAATTCCTTTGTTTTTCAACACACTCAGCTCAACACTAATTTGGTGCTGGGAGAGATCCATGGGAGAAGTCGTGAGATAACTAATTACATATGTCATGAAGCTACTAGTAGAGAAATTCCTCCTCCATCAACCTTGAACATCGGGTGGAAAGCCCCTCCTCAAGGACTTCTAAAGCTAAATTGTGACGGAGCTGTTGCATCATCATCCCTTGCTTCCTGTGGTGGGTGCTTCGTGATAGTGGTGGTAACTTCATTTTAGGCTTTTCATGTCTAATTGGGCATTGTTCTATTTTACATGCTGAATTATATATGGGCCATGCTCTATGGGTTGAAAATTCTCAGAGAACGAAATTTTAGTGACCAGATCATTATTGAGTCTGACTCAATAATTGCAATTCAGTTCTTAAATGAAGGGTGTCCTAGAACTCACTCTTGCTATGGGCTAGTCAATCAAGTTGTTAAGGCGGCTGGTGATTTCAACAATATTGAATGTACTCACACCTTAAGGGAGGCAAATCAGGTAGCAGATTGTTTCGCCAAAAAAGGGCTCTCTTTGTCAGTAGGTGTTCATGTTTTTGACTCTGCCCCGAATTGGTCTATTTCTTTTTTATTAGCAGATGAGTCTGCTGTAACCTTCCCTCGTGGATTCTAGTTTTTTTTGTTTTCTTTGGGCTATTAGCCCCCTTATGAATAAAAAAAAAATGCACAACTACACATTTTTTTTTTATTAATTTACAGGATTAAAAGAAAAAATTAATTTTTATTTAATAATTGAATAAAAATTTATATAATTTTCGTGATTATTACTCTTTTAATATTTTTAATATAATTATTATAAAAATAAAAAAAATGTATTATATATGTATGTACAAACTTCTCTCTTTATTATTCAAATAATTTTATTTTTGATGCTAAAAAATATTATTATTTTAATAAAAAAATTATAATATTAATTAATTGAGTTTAATAATTGAGTTTACAACATTATAAAAGTAACGGTATACATTTTTATAATATTTTTTAAAATTCATACTATTTTATAAAGAACGTATTAACCTAAAAAAACAGTTACATGTAATATTTAGATATTGTTTTTAAATTTTTTTATTTAATAATTAATAAGATCAGTAAATTGATTAAAAATTAATAAGATTTGATTGATTTTCAAAAAATATGAGTGAAAAATCTATCATTTGGACTTTTATCAATATTATACTTGTTTTACATTTCAAACTATTTTAAATTTAATTCATAATTAATATCAATGATTTGGTAGCTCAATTTAAAATTG